TTCCCTCTCCTTTGCGTTGCCTTGTGGATTTCTCAAGTTCACACCCTGATTCTCAAAAGGAGCCTCTTGTTTGACTCTGCTCCCTCAGTTATGTTTTCTTCGCAAAGTGTCTTCTCTGCTACTCTAAATCAATTTTTGAAAAATCAGAGAAATCAGGTTCTTCCCAGGAGGGGAGTCATAGGGAAGTGGAGACTGAAAGTGTGTATTGGGTCTGACATCCAGTAGCATTTCTCACCACTCTGCTTACGTCTGTTGAGTAAAATGGTACTCAGAATGCTTCTCTCAGTGTTTTGGTGTGGACTGAACAGGTAATATGTGTATATAGCACATGCCTGCCCAGTGTAGATACTGTTTGAAACTCCCTGAAAGCTCTGCTATTTCTGCAGCTCATCTGGCTACGATATTTTGGCACTCATTAAATCTAAAATTTTATTCCAGTTTGTCTGAAAAGCAGAAAATTCACTTTGCATCAGAAGTGTACAAATTTAACTTTTGCGAGATATCTAAGGCATTTGTTATTCATGCTCTTAGCACTGGTGCTTTTCAATTAGGACATAAACAGAATTGCTTTATTCCTCATAAAGTCATGTGGATGGCTCACCTCTGTAGGCTTATCTGCAACAAGTTTTTCTGTCCCTTTTTTTTTTAACATTTTAAAATTAGCTATAATTGTAAATATCCATGGAATTACTTGTGACACTTCAATACATGTGTGCAATGTGTACTGCTGAAAATACTGTCCTTTTGTAAATGTTGGTTTGTTTGAGACATCGTTCCTGATGTGGTTATGGAGGGAAGGTTCTCTGAGCATCACACAGCAAGTTCAAAGAGGCTCCCATAGACAGCAGGTGTAAGCAGCAAGCTAAGTACACAAGCCGAGTGAGAGTGGCCCTCCTGGAAGGGCCCATCTTAGAATGTAAGGATAACTCAACCCAGATCTCTTCCCAGAAGTACACCAATAGGGCTCTAAAACAAGTCCAGGATCGCACGTTTGATTTGGACTGGTAATGTATAGCCATATATTTTGAAAAGTGAGAGGAAGTTATTGGCAAGGAGAGTTTGCTAGCTACCCTGTGTGGAGGTTTATCCACATCTTAGGAAGAGACAGCTGGGGATTGGAGCCGGGGTCCTGGGTAGAGAGATGCTACTGTCCTGGATAACCATTTTCTTATGTATGAAATCTTCAGTGTAGCTGCTGCTGCAGTAAGCACAGTGGGTAGGAAATCTTTAAGCCAGCTGTTTTTCCAAATTGGCATTTTAAAAAATGCAGAACAAAGCTTAATAATTATAATTTTGTGAATTTTCCTTTTTCTTACTGTTCCCTTCCTGCTTTAGTTCCCATCAACTTTCCCTAAAGCATCGGTGATTTCCCCATCCGCCACCAAAATTCACCATAAAAAGGATATTTTTTTTGCCCTAGTTTTAGAATAATTCTTATTACTCTGAAAGGAGGTATTTTCGAACTGACATCCTTTTAGCACCTCAAATTAGATCTTATCGGGACCTGTTATAACAAGCTAGTGTGAATTTATTTTGGTGAAAAAGAATTTTGAAATTTATGTATATTGCTTCATAGTAATGCTTTCCATGGACTTCTTGAAACCCTTTTATAGACATTCGAGATCTCAGTCAACTCTGGTTTTTCTCTCTTCTTCTATTTCTCCTTTTTTTCTTTTATCCTTTCCATCTCCTTTGCATTTCTCTGTTTTTGTCTTGTAATGGAGTCACTGATAAACAAACAACCAGATATTTATTGTATAGAAATATCTATGGAAAGCTGTCTGTATTTTATCACTTATTTAATGGAACAATTTCTCTTAAAAGATTCTTTAAGAAATTTATTTGAAAGGCAGAGTTAGGGAGAAGAAGAAGGAGAGAGAGAGGAATCAATTTTCCAAACATTGGTTTATACCCCAAATGTTTGCAGTGGCCCAAGCCAGGTCTTCGTGTGGATGTCAAGGGCCTAAGCTCTATGGGGCTGTCAGTGGATCCGTTGGGAAGAGCAGCCGTGCCCCAGTGGGGTGTTGGCATTGCAGGTGGTTATTTCATGTGGCATTCCATAGCAGCAGCCCCTGAAAGAGTTCACTTCGGCTAGACCCAAGTGTGATGCAGCTTTTTTTCTGTTAGAATTTTATGTTTTTGGCTTTTAAGGATTTCAGCATAAATGATGGGATTATTTTGCGGGTGATGAGTGATTTCTATTGTCTAGATATGGTTTCCTGTTGATCTTGACAAAAATTTCTCTAATGATTTTTACCTAGGGCATTTTGGAATCACCTTTTACTTCATTATTTTTCACAGATTTTGGAATTTATCATCTTTGCAATAAATGTTGAAAGATTTATAGTATTTAATGTAGTCTGCATATAGAAAGTGAAACATGAACTTTCACTTTTGTGGGCTAAATGGGTAAATGTATTTTTTGGTTAGACATCATGGAGTATGTCATTACCTTTATTTTTATTTTTACAGATGACCAGTTGTATGTACATAGGATAGACAAATTGGAAGCAATATAAGTGTCAGAAGGTCAAACTAAACTTTGTTTTAAATCAATGCGTGCTTTGTTATACCATGTAGTAATCTGATACATATTTAGAACTTATAATGAACAAGTCAGAGTGATTAGATTTGTATCTCTATGAACTTTTATCACTGCCTGTCTCTTGTGCTTCTTGATCCTGGGTGCGTTGCTGTGGCCTGTGGTTGCCCACTGTCTGTGTGCCACTAACAGTCTTCCAGGGTCTCTGTATGCGAGGGCTTGTTCTCCCCTTTGTAGCATCACTCCTACTTGTAGTGACCTCTTCCCTGCTCTCTACTCTGATGAGACCAACTTCCAAGTGTTTATTGTCAGTGAGCTCGAATCTCACGCCCCATTCCTTGCTGCTGCCCTCAGGTCCCAGTGGATGACAGGCTGTGCACTGAGAGTCTCTGATTGAGCAGCCGATCAGAGCCTAACTTCAGATGAACTAGTATTCATTTTGTTTCTACATAGGGTCTCAGGAAACAGCCATCTTGTAACACAAAGTCAGTGAGAAGTACAAGAAAATGCCTTTTGAGGATTTTTTTTTTCTGAGTCCATGCAATCAGGATGACCCCTCCTCCCTTTTCTTCACCAGCTGAGGGGGGTTTGAGGAGCTTCTTTTGACCATCTGTGCAAAAACTGCTCCTTGAAATGGCATTTTATGAAGACAAACACCAGCACCTTTGTTTTATGGGCAGTAGTGTGTCGGACAGCTGCCGTGCTCGCGCCTCACCATCTCAAGGTCCTGGATTCCATCTACCATGGCAGCAGGAGCACTTAAAATAGGAGCAGAATGTTCTTGTTTGTATGGGATGCTGTTCACCTCCACTAGTTGTTGAAATAACCCCATAATGGTGTAAGCCACCAGGAAGGCATTAGGAAAAGTTGTTCTACCCAGATCTTGAAGAATTGGTTGGATTTTGAGAGGGTATAGTAGAAGGCATTTAAGTAGAATGGCAGTTAACTGAAGGTTGGAGACAATGAAGACCAGAGTTTAGTTTTGTTTTTCTTTAAGGAAAGGGAAACAATCTAGCATATACCCAGGGGAAGGTTTTGGGGTCTAGAAGGAGACATTTGAGCTTCATTTTATGAACCATGGGAAATGACATACCAAGTTTGTGCAAGTATTTGAGCATATGATATTCTTGGTCATACAGAAGAAAGTAAATAGAAGAGACTGGAAAGAGGAAGGTAAAGTCACGTGGAATGACCAACAATGGGCACCTGTACTAGGGTGGGGGTCATAGAGCTGAGGAAATAGCATGTGTGTCACAGACATCGGTTGAATGAAGATTGACAGTATTGATGATGGAAGGAGTCAGGAGAGAAAGGTGCGTGAAGGTGGTGAGGATGGTGGTGATACTGGACTCTCTTCCAAAGTCCCTCTTAGGAAACAGTGCAAGGACAGAATCAAATATAGAGCCAGTGAGGATTCTGTCCCTTAGAAATGCAGAATGTTTTTAAACCCGGTCTGTGTGTTGCCCTTTGCCATCACTGTTTGCCTGTGACTAAGCCAGATTGTGGAAAAAAAAATCTATCATGTGTCAGTTTGGTTTCTGGTATATGGAGCTCCAGTAATGTGGACTTAGAGTTTTACAGGCTTTCTGAGAAAATGCAACAGTTTACTTACTGTTCTGTGCTTAGTGGGAGATCCCTTCAAAAGATCTCTTCTGCCTAGCACTTGCTACTGTTGCGCCTCAGGGATGAAGGAACTCTGGTCGGTGGGTGGCAGTGTTACATAGTGGAAAGCACAGATTCTGTAGGAAGAAAGTCACAGTGCGACTTTTGGTCTCTGTATTTTCAGATGAACTTCATAGACACCTGGGTTTCTTTGTAAATATTGATCCTTTTATCCTTTGCTGTTCTGATGCAGTTAGTCTGGAATGGGACCTCTGCATAAGGCTGTGTGTTTATATGTGTGCGTGTGTCTGTGTATGCTCGTTTCAGCATTCTAATAAACGCTGAGTTAACTAAATTTGAGAAGTGGAGACTGGATCTTTCTGTTGCACAGCTTTATAATGACTGCTGAGAATGCTTCATGAGAAAATCTGAGTTTTATACTTCTTGAATCCAAATAAAATGTCCATTGTTAATCACAGTATTTGTTGAGCTAGTTTTTCCATTCCTTTTTAAAGACTTAATAACTGTATCATTGATTTTAACATTAACCATATGAGATCATATTGTGTGTGTTTGATTTGCATGCCTTGTGCCAGAAGTGCAAAAGCTGATGTGTTTTGTATAGTTTAATACATAAAATGTTAATTATGCAAAAGTTGTTGATCTTGAATATATGATAGAAAGAAGGTGTTTGTCTTACTTTCTCTTTGAATCTGAGGAATACATACAAGTCTTTAAAACGACAAGGAGACTTTAAGAAAACTTGTCTCTGTGTATTTTTAATACAAAACTCACCTTTATTATTGATACCATCATAATTTAATTTATAAATTTATTCTTTCTTATTCTAAAAGCAAATAGCTTTCGTTAAATATGCTTGTCATTTTCCCCAGGTAAAAACCATCAGAAGACAATACCAAGAACCTCTGTGTGAATAAGAACAGTGGGGATTTTGAAACACATCCTCTTCAAATGGTCATCAAAGAGACCGAGTTTTCAGCAGCTCGTTACAGTCTCTATATAACAATACATAGCGCAAATGTCAGTTGAGTTTGAGCTTATTATAGCACATTGTAAACAGTTTTTAGTCTTTATTCACAGTTTCTGTGCAACTAGAGTTAGCAGGATTCTCAGTCCAGAAAGTTTGTTTTCTTTTTAGATGCAGAGGTCCACTTATGTTCTCCTTTCTCCTACAGTCCCTCAGTTTGAACTTAGCTTCTATCCAGCTTCACATCTTGACAGCCGCCGCATGCATCTGTCCCGAGTCATTTCTTCTTCTTCTGGGCTGGTTGAGTTACCCGAAAATGGAAAGTTGTTCAGCCAGGGAGCCTCACTGGTGGGTTTTGTCTGCACTGATGCTGTCTTCTCATGCCTTTAACCGACAGCCAGTCACTTTAGACTGTTAGCTTGAAGGTCATTGAGCAGATTTAAGTAAATATCTGATTTCAGGAACCTGGGGTAGGAGTCCTTTTCCATGAGAGTAAATATGACTTTTTGGGCTTCATCAAAACATGTGAGCGTGGGCGCTTTAATCCTCTTGGCCGTAGATTCTCGAGTGCGGAAGTCAATATTGATCTAAAAGAATTATAAGCAATTAGCATGCAGTTTTCATTTGTTGACATTTTTGTTTGTGTTTTCTGAAACACTTCAAGAAAGTGGCTTTATTTACATTCTCATTAAATCAGATTTCTCTGCACTGTCTTTTCTCATGCTCCGTGTTTGCCCATACTGTAGTTGGCACATGGTGAACAAGCGGACACCTAACAGTTACCTGTCCGTGGAAGGAGGCAGGGATCAGGAGAGACTAATGTGGACTTCTAGCATTAGTAAAAGTACAGGGCTCTTTGTGTGGGTGTCTAATGGGTAATGGGCACGGCTCCTAACTCCTAACTAAATACAGTGTGTTTGCTGTTGTAATTTTATATATTCAGAATCTACATTTTGCCCTTTTCCAGGAAGGGATAGATCGTTTCCCCGAACTACAGATGTGGCTGTAATACCCTTTCTCCACACTCCACTCATAGTAGGTAGTTTTACAAAATCAATCTGTGTATGGACATAGCCACAAGTACACTAAATTATGTGACTCTACGTAAACTTATAGAGATAAAATGATATTCAAATAGAACGTGATTGTGCTGTGCATGTTAATTTTTCTTTCTATATATATCCTTACACACACACACAGACACACACACACACAGATTTTCATGAACTTAGTACTCACTTGCTTAGCAGCATCTGAATGCACAAAGGCCTTATATATTTTCTCTGCTTTGCAGTGCAAATTATCAGATTCTGTTTTTTTATAGTCTTCGCAAGCCAGCCAAAACTCAATGTTTTCCTCACTGAACTCAGATTTTAGGAAATTTCCAAAAACATCTTGACCAGCTAAAAGGAAAGGAAAGAATTGAGCTAATTAAATTAATTGAACTCATGGATGAAGAGATTTGTAGGTAAAATACTGTTCCAATCTCTGTGTACACAGGTAGGAGATAGGTGCAGTTGCCATCTCGTGATTTGTTGAGAGAGGAAGGTCCTGGTGACTCCTGGAGTCATGCCTAAGGACACTGAGGCCAGACTTCCGCACAGCCAGAGCTGCTCCCTGGGGCTGCAGAGATGTGCTCTGCTTCCATTGGCTGTTTAAAATTCTGCTCTGCTGATTACAAAACAGACTTTTTTTAAAAAAATTGAACCAAGTACTAGACTGTAGAGTATTTTAGAGTAGTTTAGGGAAGCAGACATTGGTAAAAGGCATTTATATTTTGTTAATAATTAATAAACATTTTTGAATATAATTTATAACACTTAGAAAATATGAAGCCAGTATATTATGTGTGTGCTTAATGTTCTGAAATTTATTTGCTAGTGTTACTAAGACTTTTGTATGGGCTGTTTCCATGCTGTTTATTTGTTGGTTGAATTTTAAATTAAGTGAGATAATAAGATGGGCGAGCTAGGTCAAACTTCTTAATTCCCATGCATGACTGCTTGGGATGATTCTAGGGGAAGAGGATAAACCAAGCCTCTGAGGAAGGCCCTGGCTGCCTTTGCAAGGAGGAGGCCAGCTGCTTTCATCTTTCACTCTCTCTCTTCAGAAAATTCCCACAAGCACTGCTTAATAGCCTGCTAGTACATCTGTGTTATTGCATGTGTCATGTTGTTTATAATTCAGTTGTTCAGTTTGTGTTTGTTGAACACCATCTGTTCAGTAAAGGCTTTGTCTTTATTTTTGAATCTTTGCTGAATTTTTAGTGCCTGACAGATAAAGGTGGAACGAATAAGTGAGTTAATGATTTCAGATGGACAAAATATGTGATTGAATGAATTCCCTATGAACTTTCACCCAGCTGTACAAAATCAATTCTCTAGGTGATTTTTAAAATATCAATTTGCATGTTGAGATATTTGGCTTACTTATTACAACTTTCAACTACAGAGCCCTAGAACAATTTTAACTTTTGTTCCTGTATTTATGATGGGAACCACCAGCTGCCTTGGAAATTTTATCTAAAATGATGGGATAATTTAGTGCTAGTCAACAGTAAATTAGAGTTATCTATACTAAATTTATCAGCAAATACAAAAAACCAAAACACAGTGTTGTGATGGTATATTACCCAGAACACTATATTTAGGTTGAAGCCATACAGGTCTGTTAGCATATTGAGCTAAATCTAGAAAATTCAGTGATTCATCTGTACCTACTTTGGGTGGCAAGAAGTCTTTCCAGAGATTGAGACCATTGCATTACTTCATCAGCAGAGAGTCTACAAAGAGACAAAACATACACAAATTAATAAGTAGTTTTTACAAAGAAAGTAAAAATGGCTGTTGCATTTTAATAACTTTACTAAGACTCTGGTTATAATGAAATTTACTAAAAATTTCCCAGAAAAAAAAATCTTTGTTAACATTGTCACAGGTATGAAAAATCTATCTGCCATTACAGTTTGAAAAGAAAAATCCAAATGCATAAAGCTTGACAGTGCAGCAGTAAGTAGCGATTATATGTGCACTCATGTTTGTATTTCGTTTAGTGGGATGTTCCTGTAGTCTAATCGCATTTACTGCATTGCTTGAAAGAAACCGATTCCACTACGTGCAGTATTCATCTCTCACTAGGACACAAATGTGACATGGAGGCTGTGAATGTGGGTTAAGTTCAGGGTTTCAGAGTACGTACATATCCTTGGCCTTGGATGATTTTATTCCAGATTCCAGATGCGGGATCATAGATCTCAGATATGCCTTCATGTCCATTCCACTACAAAAGACAAAAAAAAAATCAATGTTCATATTTCTTCAGTAGTAATAATTTTATTTGTAACATTGAAAGAGCAGGCAATTAACTTCTCTAAGGAATAAAACAATAATAAAAAGAGTTGACATTCTAAGATAGTCTACTTTCATGAGTTTATGCCTGGAAAAGTTCCCACCTAGTTTAATGTCATAGCATGATTTAATTTGAATCCAGTGGAATCTAACGACGTGCAACGTACACTTGCTGTGATTCGGCTACCCTGCACACCCAGATTCCCTTGTTCACCCACAAGCTCGCTGTCACGGAGGGCAACCGAAGTGAGACACGGAATGCACTTACAAAGTCTTGGGCCTCCTTTTCTGTGTTCTGTCGTGTAGAAGTGAGTGGCCAGTTTCTTTCAATTCTTTTGGGTGAGCAGACAAGAACATTCCAGGCATCCTGTGGAGCCGTGGCGTGGGGATGGCTGCCGCCTGCATGGTCCTCCGGCGAGTGTCTGTTGGTTAACGTGTCTGCTGCTTTATATAGGGAAGGCAGGCGGTGCCTGTTCTGCAAAGCAGTCTGTTTATCAAGTGACGTTACCACAGACACTGCAAGTTCCTCCTTTCTTGGTTTCTTGTGACGTGTGTCTTGAAGAAAAAAAGCATACAGTGATGTCTTGTGGTTGAAACTTAACCAAATGAGAGCAGGTCACTTGATTAGACAGAAAGAAAAAAAAAGTATTAAGCATGTGGAAGCACACTCATGGCAGCATTGAAAGCATTGGAAAACCCACGTGCTGCTAGGAGGTGCTGTGTTCTTCAGAATGCGTGTTCCAATAAAGTCTCTCTTTTTTTTGCTTACTGTATTACACAGAGACTCAACATTAGTATTCTTGCTCCCCCCCCACCACCATGTCTTGGATAGTTTTTCTTTTTTTAAAAAATACTTATTTTATATATTTGAAAGGCATAGTGACAGACACATATAGACACAAAGATCTTCCATCCACACGGCTGGGAGGAGTCTAGGCTGAACTCAGAACTCTGTCTTGGTCCCACACTCGGGTTGCAGGGACCCGAGCACTTGGGTTGTGTTCTGCTTGCCCAGGCACATTAGCATGGAGCTAGGCAGGAAGTGGAGTAGCCAGGACCACGGTGGTGCCCACATGGGATGTTCTCTACGCAGATTGTGGCTTAACGTGCTGCACCACCGGACTGGCCCTTGGTTCTTGATCGCAATGTTTTTTTAAAAAGATTGTCTTTACTTTATTTTATTTTTTTTTCGGTAGGAAGCATGGTTAAAAAAAATGATTTTTTTTTTTACATATCTACTAGGAGAGAATGTGAGGAAATGTTGTCTTCACTTTTCCCCACTCAACTCTCATCCCTGAGGAGCACGCTCTTACAGAGTTGATGTGGAGTTGTGGCTTTTCCAAACTGTGATCATTTTTTTAAAAAAAGATTTATTTTTATTATTTTTTTTATTGGAAAGGCGGATATACAGAGAGGTGAGACAGAGAGGAAGATCTTCCATCCGATGATTCACTCCCTAAGTGAGCGCAACGGCTGATGCTATGCCGATCCAAAGCCAGGAGCCTCTTCCGGATCTCCCACGCAGGTGCAGGGTCCCAAAGCCTTGGGCCGTCCTCGACTGCTTTCCCAGGCCACAGGCAGGGAGCTGGAAGGGAAGCGGGGCTGCCAGGATAGAACCGGCGCCCATGTGGGATCCCAGGCGTGCAAGGCGAGGACCTTAACCACTGCGCCACCGCGCCGGGGCCCCAAACTGTGATCATCCTGACTTAAACTCTCTTTGGATTGTCGCAAAGTGACAACACCTTTTACTTAGAATATTCTAACAGTATTAGTTAAAAGGTCATAAAAGAGAAGAGAGTATTTTTTGTCTTGTCTTTGTATTGTCAAGATGAAGGATATTTTGCAAGGCAGCATTATGGTCTAGTGGGTATAACCGCTATCTGCGATGCTATCACCCTTTACAGGTGCTGGTTTGCGTCCCAGCTGCTTCATTTCTAATCGAGCTCCCCTCTAGGTGCCTGAAAAAAGCGCTGAAAGATGCCTAGTGTGCTTGGGCCCCTGTAACTCATGTGAGATGATCTAGATGAAGCTCCTGGCCCTTGGCTTCAGCCTGGCTCAGCCCTGGCTGTTATGACCGCCTGGGGACTGAACTAGCAGGTGGAAGGTATTCTTAGTCTGTCTCCCCCTCTCTCTAATGCTTTCAAATGAATGGATAAATCTTTCTAGGAAAGAGTATCTGAAGGAAACATTTATCATCTAAAACTCACACATAGTCCTAACACGTTTTACATTGTATGTAACAGACATCATTTGATATGAAAAAGAACGTGATTCATTTAGGAGGAACATTAGTGAGTGAGATAAGCTAGTCTCATTGGAAGTCACCCAGACAAAACCAACAGCACTCCAGCCTGATGATGTAGAGGTGCTTGCTGGTGTACTTCCTGTGGTTCAGTCCATGCTCATTTTCCTGTTAAAAATCTTCATCATTACTCACACTGTCAGTGCACTAACCTTTTAGTTATTTAGATAGTTTTTGGTAAGTTATGTTAAAGGAAAATTATGTAAAGGTCATCTTTAATGGACCAATGTTGATATTATCTGCATGTATGGACAGTTTCCAAAGTCTGTCATTCTGCAGAGTGCCAGTGGGTGTTATTGAGCATCAGAGAACAGGAGCAGGAGAGCTCGAGGGGCCAGAAAGGCTTGGGAGGCGTTGGATTGCTAATCTGTGTTTTGTTTTGTTTTGTTTTGTTTTGTTTTCTAAGAACTGAACCTTTACTAGATAGGAAAAATAGTTTTTAGAAATAATGCGCTTTTAACATGACTGGGTAACTTTGATATGTGATCGAAGTAAATACTTACCTCATATGTGCCTAGTGATTGCTTTAAACCTGCCAGAATTTGTTAATCTCATATAGACTGTCCAAGTACTTGCAAGTAACTGCAATTGCATGCTTTCAGACTCAGAAAAAGAATCTGATGCTCGAGCCTCTTTTTACATCTCACTGGCTTCTGAAGCCCTGTTGGTGCCGCCACAACCAGGCTGGCTGTGCACGGCATGTTCATGCCTCGGGAAGCCAGTTGTGATCAGGTTGTATCAGTAAGGGCTGATGCGTCCAATGGCAGGACTGGAAGCTTCCTTATAATAGGCTCCTGTAGTGACATTCTCATTGCTGCCATAGGACATGGAGGTAAATAAGCCACTTAGTCACAGCTGCACACCCTGGCAGAGTGCCAGAGCTCCACTCCCAATCCAGCTTCTTGCTAACGTGCAACCCAGATGAGTAAAGCCAACTCAAACAGCTGGCTCTCTGCCACTAATGTGGGAAAATTGAGTTTCTTCGTTCTGTGCTTAAGGGGCTGGAAGATGTGTCTATCTGTATCTCTCTGTGCTTTCTATGCATTTCAAATGAATAAAAAATTTTAATGTTAACAGAAGAAACAGTGACTCTTACAATCTCGCTGTGATTTTATATTCCTGAAATTGCTCACATCACTAAGAGGCCTAAGAAAAGGAATATTTCATGTAATTTTTGTGTTATGTTTTTTTCTTCTTCAAGCAATGTACTTTATTTTTAAAGCAGTTTTTGGTTTACAGAAAAATTGAAAGGAAAAGGCAGAACTCCAACTTACTCCCTACTCTGTCCCACTTGAACCTCCTTCACTCACTGTCATCCATAGCACTGTCTAATCAGTGCTATATAGACGTTGAACTTGAGCATAGTACATCATTATCATGCAAGCCTGTGGCTTATTAGGTTCAGTCAGTGCTGTGCATTGTGTGTAGTAACTATTATAGTGGCATACAGGATAATTTCTCTTCTGGAAGAAAAAACTCCAGTGTTATGTTTTCAGGATTATGGCTATTAATTTTGATGGTGGGGCTGGTACTTGGGTGTGATGGTTTTAGTCCCAGCTGCTCCACTTCTGATGCTCCCTGTTTGTGCCCAGGGAAGGCAGTGGAGGATGGCTCAGACCCATTGTGCCCCTGTGTCCATGTGGGAGACCCGAGGATGCTCCAAGCTCCTGGATTCTGGCTTCAGAGCCAATTCTGGCCATTGTGGCCATGTGGGGGGTGAACAGTGGATGGAAGTTCTCACTTTTTGTCTCTCCTTCTCCCCTTAACTCTGCCTTTCAAATAAAAAAAATAACTCAAAATATATCTATTGTAAGCATCAGTGACATGAACAGAAATTTTGATCCTGTACAGCTGAATATCTTGAGTCAACAAACTTTCATTGCATTTCTGTAATGTGAGAAAGGTTATGGCAAATACAAAGATGAGTGAATCTGTATGGTTAGGGGTTCATCGTGTCATTTGCCGGGTGATATTTAAGCAGGTAATCAGAAATGCTGTCGGAGAGCACGTACTGAAGGAAGAACATAGAAAAGTGGTTAACTCTGGAAACACAGATAATGAAGTCAAGCACTGTGTCATTGTTATGGAATTAAGGGGGACCCCTGTCCCCCCTTTTCCTGCATTTGCATTTAGTACCCTGTGGAAAGCATGAAAGCCACAAGGGAGAGAGAGACAGCTCTCAGCAAGTAAATGCCTTGTTGTTGTAACGTGCTTGGAAGAACAGATCCTGGATCTGTAAGCATAGAGCTTTTCAGGAAGCCCGGCCTTCCGTTGTCAGGTGAGGGAGACTGCCAGGATTGCCCACGACTCCTTGGTAGCTTGGCTCGAGCTGCGTCTTCCTTTGTGCCTGTGGCTGCTGGAGTCTTCAAGACCTTCCAGTAGCTCTACAAAGATGTTTTAGTTGAATTTCATAGGATTTCTTTGAGAAAGCTTCAGTGAAGATGAGTGTGAAAGGATCTTTGTGTGGAGTGTTAACAGACACTGAGGTGTTTATTTTATGAAAAAAATATTAAATGCTTTAAAGTTGCTTATGATTTTGTTTTCAAGAACAGATTATCTGCGCTCCTGATTTCAGTGATCTCAGCAAACACCACTGAGCAAGATAAACATCTAGTTTCTTTTTCTAGCCCGCTCACAGTCAACACTGAATACCTCCTTTCTGTAATTGGAGAAGTTATAAGAAATTTGAACTTAGGTCCATTAGTGAACTGGGTCCGTGAGATAATTCTGTCAGGCCTACTCTAAGTTATCTTGAATATACTGAAGGAGGCCTTGAGGAGTATTATCTCTCGCTAGTTATGTCATACCCAGTTCTTCCTGTTCTTATTATTACCTTCTCATAATCCATTGAAGAAGGGGGAGAAATTGTGTCTTACTCTGTTTAGCATCCGGCAAATAGGGAAGTGCCTTATTCCCAAGTCCAGATAAGTAGAGAACTAGGCTACAAGAAAAGTACAAAATTGCTTGGGGTTGGATTCTAATGTTCAGTACCTAACTCTTAAAAGGTTAATATACAGAGATAACTTGCGCACGTAAGTAAATTTTACGTCCCCGGGGGCTGATCTCAACAGTTGACCAGGTTACTATTTTAACTTTCTGATAACATTATTTCAGTGATGCACATTTTCTTATACTCACTTGACTACAACAGTGATTTATTTGCCTTATTTTTCCATATTA